AACCTGATGGCATAAACGCCATACGGGTGATAGAAAGACGAAAGACAACGAGTTTAAATTGGACTGAAATCCAAGGTCAACCCACTGACCAAGAACTTCTTGGCGACAAGAAGTTATTTCGACATGAAACATGCGACAACTTTTTGTTTCGGCATTACTAGTGCCAACAGGTTCTGTCCATCGATCTTCTTCGAGGATAGCTTCTACTATTGATTCATTTCCCGAAAACCTGAAAACTTCGGTTCCTTCTTCAACTCCTAACGCGAAGAATGAAGTAACTCGACCGCAAGAGCCATTCTAACTGTAGAGCTTAATTTTAAGGTCTCTTAGTGCCAGACTACTTTAACATTCTTGTGTTTAGAGCACTTACAGTGATTTAACGTTTATTATAGGAAAGAGTGTTTTGGGTCGATGTAATTGAGGAGTTTCTTTCTCTTTCCCAAAGTCTATGATTGTAAATCAGACTAGGTCTGATTAACTTTCTCCAAGTCCCCGAGTCACATAAAGTCAAGTTAGGATCAAAGCATTGATCTCATTCCTCATTGGAAGCGCCAAAGGATTATGGTGCATGTTTCCTCCATTGTTGCCTCTACTCCAGTTGTTCAACCCTCCTCTCGTACCCGTCAGCAGCGTGCTCAGAGTGCTGCTCTGTCTCAGCCCCCAGCTACTTCTTCGGCAATCGGAAGGTTTCAATTATGCCCGCCTCGACAATGTTGTGCAAAGCATCGTCAATCTTTTGTCTGCTCAAGCCTCTGGTTCTTCACACCCTCCTGCCCCAATTTGTCAGCCTACTGCAGTCACTACACCCTTATTCGGCTTTCCTAAAAGGAGATCTTTGTCGATGACCGTAGCGCGTAGAAGACAAACGTGTGGGCAGACCCCAGATTGAAATTTGGATTTCTAACTGTCTTATCCTTCGTGGGTATTAGGACGTACCTCACTTGGTACCAAGGGTAGAACTTCATGATTGATTCGGTGCAACCAGTCTGTGGGCAAGGCGGGCAGTGTTCGCCAATAGGCTGAGGTGTCAGCATTGGAGCTTGGCCCTGGCTGACCAGCTCAACCTGGGTAGTGTGGAGTTTCAAGGTAGAAACCTCGCTTTCATACTTTCAGGAGTACTAAGAGATACCCATAAAGAATTCAGTTTATCCTTCAACTAAGAAAGGCGTATAGTCGCTCACTTGAATTGTCGCTTTTAAGTAGGTCATCTAACTCCTTCCTTGGAAAAAGACCCCTTTGACCTGGTCTGAGGAGATGGGTTAGGCTACTCGCTTACCGGAATGGAGCTCAATTACATCGACCCTCGGAACTGGCAACCAATCTAGTAGCTTATCTAGTTGCGGACTCTAGCCTCGGGTTATAGCTGTTGTATGCTCTGCTCCTCCCGAGCTCGCATCTCCCGTTTGGGCCTTTTTGGCAATGGGTCAGTTGCGGGGGTGGGTTCCAAACTTTTTGTTAACAATTGAGGGAGGTTCAAAGATCTCGACCAAACAAACTAAGCAAAGCGCAGTGAAGTCCCGGTTCAATGAACTCGACCAACCGGGAGAGGGTAAGAAGCGGCTCGACTTATCTTACGAGGTACGAAGTGCTCGACTCTAAAGGAGAGGATAGGTGTAATTGAGGACAACTCAAGAACAACTGATGACGTTCGATCAGTTGACAATGGAGTAGTGGAGTTATAGCATGGGTAGCTCAATCATTTAGTACAGAGAAAAATTCAAATAACATTTTTCCGTACATGAGTAAGAAAACTGCTCTGGATCCCAAGATTGAGCTCTTAGGTAACGAGGATCAGTGACTCAGAGATTCTATCATCCTTTTAGAGGATTATCTTCATTTCTCTATCCCCGAACGACAGGGCAGTGCTCGATCGATGTCAAGCTTGTCCAGCTAGAAAGAAAGAAAAATCCCGTCTTTCCTCTAGTCTTACTCGCTCCCCCTACCATGCCTAAACGTTGTCCATCATTGCTCTGTTGAGCTTGGACCAAACTCGCCCATTGGTCCAAGTATGAAAGAATCCACTTGAAGGAATGTCGTATAGATCCAAGCAAAAACAGGGTTTAGGCATAAAAAACGGAGGGAAGTGCGTGTGTTGATGTTTAATCGTGTGATGACAATGATGTGATCTCTTTGTGGGAGAACAAGTACTTCCCTTTGGCATAGGGCCGTTGTTCCAAACTTGATAGCAAAAAAGGTAGTGTTTATATCTAAAAGGCTGGTTTAGCGCAGCCCTCGAGCTGCTGGATCGGTAGAAACCTGAACTCTAAGCTGCTTTGTTTGAGCTTTCATTTTGTTATGCTTGGATCTGAAACCCTATTTCAATTTCACTCCGTCATCTTTCTCTCTAGCTTTCTACAAGTAAACTAGACTGTTACGCTTTGCTCTTTATATTGTTATCATATGGCTAGTTCCACTTTTCACATGTCGGTTTGAAAAAGGCCTCTCCTTGAAGGAAAGTACGCACTATTTAACGAACTTTTCGAAGCGAAGTTCAGGATAAAGTAGTAAGGGAGAGGTTTGGGAGAAAAGGAATGGAAGTTGGCCTTTAGTATGATTGGCTCAGAAGAAAGGGTTCAAGGGAGCTTTCTCACCTCAGGAAAGGCATGGGTGCTTCTTAGCCTTAAATAGGGCTTTGAGGTGGCGACAGGTAGACGAACCGTCGCTACCGCGTTGATCCTCCGAATCACTGGTAGTTGAATCCGAAGAACCCGGTGCAAGTTCAGGGATAAATAAGGTTCTGTTGGGTAAGGCAAGCGCTAGTGCGTGGGTCTCAAGGGCACGATAGCCCTGCTTTTGCCAGTCGGAACATCCGCCAAGTGAATGGTTAAAAACAACTAGGTCGATAGGCAATCCTCCCTTATTAGTGGCCCTTTTCAAGCAAAAAACAGGGGTTGGGGCGACCTCTTGCCTCTATTTCCAACTGGTGAAGGGCAGGTTGGGAGCATTCTTTCCTCCCATTTGAAATCGCTTTCTTTTTCTCTATAAATAATGCTTGCTTTCTCTCAACCTAGTGATCAAAGCTGAATCACGAAATATCGTAAGAGAAGAAGATTTCATCTTTTACTTGAAAAGCCTCTGCGTTGAAGGGTTCTGCTGTATCATTGACTAACTCAATTCCTTGCTTGCTTACTGCTCAGTTTGATAGTCGTCCTGTTTCCCTGCGGGCAACCTGTCGCAGAAAATCCATGTCGAGTACCACTTTGTTAGCTACAAGTATGACATGAACAAAACTATATCTGTAATTTTCATTATACTGTAAATGTCTTTGATTCCTCCAAAAATAGATATTCTATTCCTCCAAAAATTGATTTTAAGGTATAGATGCTTATGATCTAAGCACCCTCTACTCATACTTTGAAAACGTTTGATTTTCTATATTAATTTCAAACTTTTTCGAAAACAATTTAACTTTTTAAATCTAGTCTTAGGGTACTTAACAAAACTGATGCTTTCTTAAATGTCTGATCTTAGCTTAAGCCTTGCACTTTAGGTTCTTAGGAAATTTGATTCACGAAACTTGTTTTTGTTCAATTCAATTTGAACAAAGCAGAGCATATATACTTAGTCAATAAATTGAAGTGAAATATTGAATCTGAAACAATCCAAACAAGTACAAAACATTTGAATAATGACATGTTCGAAAAATTGTTTTAGCAGAAGCATAAAGTGTAATTCTAAACAATGATCATTGTTGCCCCTCGAGTCCGACACCAGCTGCTTAACCTGAAAATGATAGTTGTAAGGGTGAGCAAACTCAACGTGCTCACCATGGTAAATTATATTGTGCAATTATTCGTAATAAGAACATGTACCAATAATTTGAATTAACTGGTCTGAACTGATGTTGCTACTGTTCTGCTCATGTGCACACAGGTGGACTTGCTCCACTAGCCAACTGAAGCTCTTATGCCCACTCTTGCTACTATTTTTCTCATGTGCACACAGGTGGCAATGCTACTATTGTGCACTCTGGCACACCTAGCAAGGTGTGTCAAGACAGTTTAGAATGAACATGTTACTTTATAAAATGAACATGTGTAAACATGTTTACACATGTTCATTTTATAATGTTCATTTTAAAAAAGCTTTGGCACACCTTGCTAGGTATGCCAGGGCGCACATAAGTATTTGCGCACAGGTGGACTTGCTCCACTAGCCAACTGAAGCTCTTATGCCCACTCTTAGGCAAAACTCATAAACATACATCAATTATAAAATACATTGCGATTATTAAGCACTAGAACATATCATAGAAATCTCCACCTGGACTGCTTACTGACTAACAGAGCTACTAGAATGAATGAATATGCCTCTAGATGAGGGCTCGACTCCTCTTTAATCAGTTATAATAATTATTACCTTATTATCATGGGTGGCGATAAACAAGCAAAGACAGGAAACGACAAGCATGGACAAATAAACACATAAGTTAGATAAAACATATAACATATACGGCAGGTAAGTAAAACTAATAAAACTTCCACTGAAACTTCTCAACTTATCTAGATGAGTATCTAGACTCGTCTAGAGTTCTTGGATAATTCTAACTTAGGATCGAAAATCAAATTTTTTTAGACTGGATCGAACTGACGGGTTCGTGCCCGGTCAGACCCAGTTCGGCTCGAAAGACCACTTGGGTCAACCTGACTACGGTTGCCCGACTTGGGTTCGCGGGCTAGGAATCCTACGGTTGAAATGTGGATAAGAAAATCTACTACTTTTAATTTTAACCATTAAATCTTTAGATAAGAATCCTACGGTTGAGATGTGGAAAAGAAAATCTACACTTTTTAATCTTAAACATTAAATTTTTAGATAAGAATCCTACGGTTGAGATGTAGATAAGAAAATCTACATCTTTTAATCTTAGCCATTAAATCTTTAGATAAGAATCATACGATTGAGATGTAGATAAAAAAATCTACACCTTTTTAATCTTAGTCATTAAATCTTTAGATAAGAATCCTACGGTTGAGATGTGGATAAGAAAATCTACAACTTTTAATCTTAACCATTAAATCTTTAGGTAAGAATCCTACGATTGAGATGTGGATAAGAAAATCTACTACATTAATCTTAACCATTAAATCTTTATATAAGAATCCTACGGTTGAGATGTGGATAAGAAAATATAAAACTTTTAATCTTAACCATTAAATCTTTAAATAAGAATCCTACAGTTGAGATGTGGATAAGAAAATTTACACCTTTTAATCTTTGCCATTAAATCTTTAGATAAGAATCCTACGGTTGAGATGTAGATAAGAAAATATGCACCTTTAAATCTTAGCCGTTAAATCTTTAGATAAGAATCCTATGATTGAGATGTAGATGAGAAAATATGCACTTTTAAATCTTAGCCGTTAAATCTTTAGATAAGAATCCTACGGTTGAGATGTAGATAAGAAAAACTGCACCTTTAAATCTTAGTCGTTAAATCGTTAGATAAGAATCCTACGATTGATACGTGGATAAGGAAATCCACAACATTAAATTTTAGCCGTTAACTCAGATTTCCTATCACGAATGTCAACCGTACGATTCTTATCAATGGAAATGAAATATACTATAAATATGCTACATGGTTAGGCAAAATTTTGTACCACCAAAATATAAGTACATCATTTTGTAATTTACGTTTTAAATCCATTATCTTGTAGTAATTTCTCTTATGGGTTCCAACTATACTGTGAATGAAGATCAACACATATGTTTGTCTTATATGGAAATTTCTCAAGATCCAGAGGTGGGCATATGTCAAAGTAGAGATCAGTTCTGGCTCCGGGTGACGAACGAGTATAGTTCTACAAATCCCAATCCAACCTGGTCTGATCGTCCACAAAGATCGATCCAATGTCGCATGGAAACTATCAATACTGCTATTAAACTTTTCAAATCTTGTGTGGAGCAAATTGAAAATGCAAACATCAGTGGAGCTTCTGAACATGATGTGGTAAGAAATTTTACAAGCATTATTTATTTATATTTATAATAAACTTTTATATTTTCGAATGCTATTTATTTTCACATTGTAGATGGAACGTGCGAATGTACTCTATTCGCAAAACCCAAAAAATAAAAGTAATAAACCATTCAAGTACGAGCATGTGTGGAATATTATGAAAGATTTTGCATTGTTCGAGTGTAGATCAACTAGGTGAAACATGTTTTCATCTTAACCGTAATCAGATGCACAGCCCGAGTCTCCCATTTCACCTAATCCAGAACTATCTAATTTTTCTATTAATTTAAGCGATAAAAATGCTAGTGGTGGTTCCTCATCGCAACGACCTTTAGGTATTAAAAAATCAAAATTTAAAAGAAAACAGGGAGAAGACGTATCTGCAGTTATAAAAACAATAAAAGAGGAAAATAAAAAATTTAGAGAGATGATAATGAGTTCAGCAATAAAGAGAGATCATGACAGTGAGATGCTGAGACAAAAAATTGAAATCCAAATGTAGAAAAATGATTTAAGAAAACAACTTGTCGAGACTACAACATGGACAGGAAAATAAAATATTAATGATGGATTTGGATTCCATACAAGATAATCGCCGCCGTCAATATTTTAAAAATGAGCAAGAAAGAATTTTGGGAAAAAGAGAAGAATTGCAGTCATCACAAGCCAACAACACTCTTGGTTCTTTCAGTGAGTTTTTTCAAGATTTTGGCGAGTCTGACAGTGGTTTGGGAGTCTACTAGAATAAAAGTTTTATCTTCAATTATGTTATTTTTATTTGTGTATTTTGTGATTTATTGTGTGTTTTTTTACCTTTTATTTTAATATTATGTTGTTTTTGTTTGTGAGTTTTATGATCTAGTTTGTTGTAAACTTTTAATTTTATTGAAATCTACTTGTTTGAATTTAAATCTTTACTCATATTATACCATTTTAATATTAAAAAATTACATAAAAAATTATAATTCATCAATAAAACTCCTATCATTTCCTAACCACTTGATGCCAACACTAATTAATTGGTGGT